CACATATCTATTTGCATAGAAATAAATGTAGAGGGAAATACACCAAAATGTTAACAAAGATTATCTCTGCCAGATGGAAACATGAAAGGTGATATTTGTTTCCTTCTTCATAATGAGCTGTCCTTTCACATTTTTCTTCAACGAACACATTTTTGTAATAAAAATAAAAGGGTGTGTATGTGTTAAGAACAGAAGCCTTGTGGCACCTGGGTGGCTCAGTTGTTAAGCATCTGCCTTTGGCTCAGGTCATGATCCCAGGGTCATGAGATCGAGCCCCAAGTCAGGCTCCCTGCTCAGCGGGGGGCCTGCTTTTCCCTCTGTAGCGCAACCCCCCCCCCCCCCCGCGCTCCCTCTCTCTCTCAAATAAATAAAATCTTAAAAAAAAAAAAAAGAACAAAAGCCTTGTGACAGACTCCTGCTGCCAGTGAAAGAAGCTCAGAACCCCCGCCGGTCAATAGGCTCCGAGTTTGCCCACCTCCTCTGTGCTCAGCTCTTGGACCTCCAGGTTCTATGCAAACCTACTTGTGTTGCCTGTGCCACCCCACATTGTCCAGCCTGGCACCTGTGCACAGGTCATTTCTACCCCTGGAAGGCCTTGCCTCCCCCCCTCTCTCTGATAGAACTCTATCCTCCATCCCAAGGACCCCCTGCATCCCCTGCCCACCCGTCACAGCTCTGTCCCCACCTGACCGTCCCCTCCCTTCCCTTGCTGCCTTCTCTGTTTCGATGATCTTGGGAGACTGGACAGGCCTCTGTACCTGTGCAGCAGAAACCAGGTGCTTAACAAAGGGCCAGGTTGAGATGAATTGAATTACATTGAGGTTGGGGGCTGGTAGAAGCAGAGATGATTGAAGAGCCCCCAAAGACACCTGGCTCTCCTTCCTCCCTGCAGCTAGGGGCCTGGTGTCCCCTCTAAGGACAGCAGAAACCTCTGCTGCTGCCTGAGTCCAGGCTGCTGATGCCCCAGGGCCATTGCACCGCTGCTCCCGGTTTGGACTCTTCCATGGCCCCACTGGAGGGCAGAGCTGTGGGCAGAGCTGACTGGTGAGCTAAGAGAGTGGGAGCGGCCGTACTTCCCGTCCCTGAGGAAGGGCATAGGGTGCCCCACTGTCCCAAGTTGCCCAGGACTGAGGGGTTTCTTGGGGCACAGAGCTTTCCATGCTTAAACTTGGAGAGTCCCAGGCAAACTGGAATGATTGGTTGCCGTAGCTAGGTGTGAGGGACAGGGCCTGCTGCCACACAGGGTCATATCTACTGAGCTGAGAGCCCTGCTCTCTGCAGCATGGTATGCAGGATGGGGCAGCCCTGTACCCAGATCATGAGACAAACAGCATTTGGGGCCAACACGGGACCAGCACTCAGCCTGGAAAACTATGTGTTCCCTCAGAGTTCTCACTGTACCTTCCCACTCTGGGTCTCTCCATTCTTCCAGACTAGTCCTGCCCCAGGACACCTCCTCCCAACCCACAGGACACCTCCCCATATCCTTTCCTATAGTGAGACACACCACTGTTTCAAGGACTGGCTGCTGTCAGCTCCTCCACGCCCCAGCCCAAAGACGGGCTCCCCACTTCTCTGGGCTTAACTCCTTTCTCTCAGCTCCTGAGCATCTTTCTCCCAGTGACACTGTGGGTTCATTCCTCCATTCCTTCCTTCACTCATCAGGTGAGAATTAATCCTCTGGTGCTGGGTTAAAAGCATATGCTAGAATCCCACTGACCTGGCTGAATCCTGGCTCCACCACTTAAGAGTGGCTGTGTGATTCTGAACAAATCACTTCACCTCTCTGGGCCTCAGTATCTTAATGGAAAACATGGGAGTTCTAAGAATTAACAGCGACCTCACAGCGTTGCTGGAGCATTACATGATTCAATAATTGAACAGTTCTTGGATCAGTGCTTGGCACAAAGTAAGCTCGATCTACCCTTTGCCATTAAGAACCTGCTGTGTACCAGACACTTTGAGGGAGCAGGAATATGCAGATGACAGGTGCTGACGGTCTAGTCGACAGGCAGACAAGGAAGCCAACTGGCACGCAGGGTGACTAATGGAAGAGCTATGGCCACACAGAGGAGAGAGTGGTTACTCAGCCTGGACTTGAGGCAGAGCTGGGGAGGCTCCTCTGAGGTGGTGAGCCAACAATGCAAAAATGTGCCGAAGGAGGGGGGTGCAAAGGCCCAGGAGTGCGGGGCGGGCTTTGCCGGCCTGGAATGGGGGTGGCGGCATGCAGGGGCCCCATGTGTGCAGACTGTGCGGGCAGGCACGAGAAAGAGCCCTGATTGAGAAGAGGGCATGTTCAAGGAGCCTGGACTTCCTCCATGGCAGTGGGGAAGCCTCTGGAGGTTTTAAGCAGGAGAATGGATTACATTCTGGACAGAACACGCTGGAGGACCATGGCCCGCAGACTAGAGCAGAGACTGGAGGAGGCCAAGCCAGGGCTCACCGAGCCGCTGAGCAGCAGCGTGGCGCACAGCAAAACACAGTCTAACCAGGGCCCTTGGGCCCCTGGTCCTCGTAGGATACCTGCCCACAGCACCTATGCATCCCCAACTACTGGGAAGGGCCAGATTTCAGAGTTGCACGCCCTAAGGCCCTATAGATCTACCCCCACTCCCTCCTGCAGCACCACCTGCCTGTGGATTCCAATTCTGGCTCCTCGCGCTGGCCTTCCTTGTCACCCTCGCAACAGGCTCACTCTTGCCAAAGCCTCAGCCCCAGCCTCAGCTCACCCTGACCTGAGCAAGCCCATCCCCTTCTCCCCTGTCTCCCTACCCCTAGCCTCAGAGGCCTCCCAGTTGCTGGGCCGGGACTTGCCCTTTCTCATTTTCCCATCCATGACTCACGCAGCAGGCGGGGGTGAGGCCAGGGGGAGAGAAGGCAGCAGGCCCTCCCTGGCCTTATGGCGTCCTCAGGCCCAACTGAGCGGTTTTTCCATTTCATGTGTGTCTGCTGGAACTGTCAGGGCCTGTTCGTGCCCCCGAAGAGGCCTTGACCCTACTCTGCGGTCCAGCCAAGCATTCCTAGGGTGAAGGCCTATGCTCCATTTTTAGAATTCGGAGTTGCTGGAGCAGCGAAGACACCCCTGAATTCATGAAGCAGGGTGTCTCCCTCCACAGCAGCAGAGAGACAACACTCCCCAGAGGTCACAGATCCTTAAAAAAAAAACTAAATTCAGCATGTGAGCCCCCAGTCTCTGTGCTGCGAGTTCCTGGAGCCTTCAGGAAGCTACGGGACTTTTACAAATGGGAGGCAGTGTTCTTTCCCATGGCAACAACCACCCTATCTCTATTAATGTATATTGAGGGCCTACTACATTCCAGGGTCTGTGTGAAGGGTTCTAATCGCAGCACATCCTTCAGAGGGGCTGGGACTCTCCTAGCAAGGGGGAGAAACCGAAGCTGGGTTTGGGCAGGAACCAAAGCATAGTTGGAACTGACAGGGCTGGGTTCCAGAAAAGCAGGGAGTGCCAGAACCCGGAGTCGGCCTCCTCCTCCACCTCGTGTGCCCCCTACCCTTGACAGCCCAGGCTGGCTGCACCCCCGTTGCCCTTTGCCAAGCTCCCAGAATGATCCTGGAAACTCCCCTGAGGCCAACCCAGTGCTGGGCGCAGGGGGCAGAGCCCAGCTCTACAGGCACCAGCTGGCATTTTATCTCCACCCCAGACCCTGGGCTCCTCGGGGCAGGGGCCAGATTGTTCCTCAACCCGGGATCGCCAGTGCCAAGCACAGGGCCTGGCCTATAAGAGGCATTTAGTACAAGTTTGGGTTGCCTTGCATCCCACTCCCATCTGCTCCCACTCTCCCACTTTGGAGGGCCTGGATACCTCTTTTCTTCCTTCATGTCTGAGTCCCCACCATTGGTCACCCTTCGGGCTCAATTGGAAGAGCAAGGATTCTATTTTAGAGGTCGTCTTATTGGATAGAGAAGCTAACCCCTTCCCATTCTCCTGGCTCCATCAAGGAAGGGGTGGCAGACAACCTTCTTCTCACCATCCCCCCCCCCCCCCCCCCCCAACAACCCCCTATAAGCCTGGGCATTTTCCCCAGCCCATGGCAGACATCACCAATCGATCACAGCACGTTGGGGAGCCCAGATCTTTCTCAGCACTGCTCAGGGTTGGCATGGAAGATGATGCTTCTTTGCCACTCTGGGATCAAGCTATTCATGAGACGGGTATAAAGCCTAATGAGGTAATAACTGAGATATTTGTAAAAAAAAAAAAATTCCTTGGTAATTTTAAGTTCTTTTTCAATTGTGAGATGTCATTCATGTAGCAGATGAGAAAGATGATCCCGAGGACTCTGAGGTACTGGGACATAGGGCAAGGAGGTTTTGGTTCGACAACAGGAGAAATTTGATGGGGGAACAAAGCAGGTTGGAAGCACAGAGGTTATGAAAGAGACTTCCAGTTGTTGAAGGGGGCCACGCAGCCTCCGTGTTCCTTCTGGAGACTCTGGAGTAGGGCACTGCTTTGCCACAGGGAAGGCCACACGCGGTGGACCACGGAGGAAGGGAGGGCAGCCTAAACTGCTGGCCACAACATGGAAAGATCTCGAGGGTTACCCGATTAATAGTTTCTGTATAACTCAGGCAGCTAGCTCTCTGTAACTCTCAGGTTCTCATGCGCTGAAATTATTCCTCCTAAACCACCCCACGAGGAGTACTTATGCACAAACGTACAAATGTATAAAGCCTGAGTATATAAACGACAGGGAGACAAGCCCTGTCCAGAACGCTGAGCCAGCTCCCAGGATGGCAGGGGTGGCACGACCTTCTGGAGAAGATCGACAGAGGCCGACCTGGCCCCTATGACATCCCTTAGTCCTGACGGTCCCTCCTTCCTAGGACCACCGAGGTCATGCCTCCTGAGTTTGCCATGTCTCCCCCTCCCTAGGCTGGAGATTTCTGAATGGGCTGTGGAATGGGAAAGCGGGGGTGGGAGAGGGAACTTCCAAGCACTGGGGTCTTTGTGGGCAAAGAATTCCACTCGGCAAACAGTGTGGTCACTGCCCTTTGTAGGGCATCTTCATTTTGGGATAGGCATGAAATGGTAATGGTCAAACCCCCACCCCACCCCCACCACCTCCAGGCCTAGCACCACAGTGGGGGGAAGATGGGCAGGAGGTGGGGGAAGAAGTGTGCAAAGAGAAGGCCTGGATGGGTGGGGGTCCCAGAAGGACCTAAGCAGCAGGAGACCCCCACGCGTGGGCCTCGGGGCCGGTCAGCTCCCTCCCACCAAGGTGAGTCCAGAGGTGATGCCAGGGTGGTTCCCCCTCTGGGTACCAGGCTGGCCTTCTGAGTCCTGAGGCGCTGGCTGGGCACCCCACGGGGAAATGTCCTCCTCCAGGCATGACACCAAGCTGGGGACTACCAGCAGTCTGCAGGACGGATGACAGGGCCGCTGGGCAGAGGATGCTTTGATGCCCGCGCTCCATCGTGAGATACAAGTCAGGCCTGTGGCTACAAAGCCCTGAGGTGGGAATGTCCTGAGAGTCTCAGAGTGTCCAGGGGCTGAATCTTCATCCTCAGCCCCACGTGGCCTTCTGCCCTCCTCCCTGGGCCCTGTCCATTCCTTCAGCTCCAACGCCTCCTCCACATGACCACGGCTTCTGCCTTGACGCAGGGAGCAGAGTCATGCCCCATGAGCCAAAAGGGGCAGGAGAGCTGGCAAGAAAGAACAGCAGTGAGGGCAGGGGCAGACCCCGGGAGAGTAAGTATCCACCACGAGCTGTTTCACACCAGGGTTTCCCAACCTTCTCCACAGCAGGGGAAAGCAGAAAATAGTATGTGTGCCACACACCGTGATCCACACAGGAACCTGCTTCCTCCTAGCCCCCCTGAGGCCCGAGGGACCAATAGGGGTCAGTTCTCAATACAGCACGCCTGCCTTCAGCCCAAGCTCTCAGCTAACCCTCACTACAGTCAACAGGAGGGCCAAAGGGGTAGATGGCACCAGAGGGGGCTCCCAGGCGCCCTGGGACTCTATCTGTTAAGGTGGGGAAGCTGGAGGGCTGGAGGCTGAGGTAATGTGGGGAGGCAGTAGTGAGGGTCAGGGGGGTATGGGTGTCCACCAGAGAAATGAAAACCTGAGTGGTATAAAGGCGTCCCCGGTCCTGCTCCTGGTCCCCACAGGGAGGGAGGGGCATCTGGGCAAGAGAGCACAGGGCTGGGAGCCAGAGCTTCTGGGTTCTATTCGTGGTCCCTCCCCTGGGCCTTCCTGACCACGAATCCACCCCTCACCCCCTGCCCTACTACTCGAGGAGGATTAAGACCTCACAAATAACAAATCCTGGCCCCATCCTGCACCTGCCCCCCTGCCCCAGGTGCCCGGTCCCTTCTCCAGCCTCTTCTCCTCTGGCCCAGCTGGGCACTGGCTGGCACTCAAGGGCAGGTGGGCAGGCCTACACCCCCTTGGCATCAGTGGCCCACTCTCCAACACCCCAGGTCTGCCAGCAGCTCGGCCCTAGGACCCAATACCCACTGTCAAGAATGGGTAGTGGAGTCCTGGCCCAGCCGAGTCAGACCCCCCCCCCTGAGGCCCCACCTGGGGAGCTGGGTTCTGTGCCCAAGTCCTAATGACTCTGCTAACTGAAGGAGGCTATCTTTCTGCCCCAATTCCATGCTCAAACTCTTCTATGTAGACCGTTGACCCTAGCACAAGGAGGGGCAAACTTCAGTTCATCCCACCCCTGCCTCTCCCCAGCTCCCTGAAAGCCATGGTGGGGAAAGCCTCAAGGGAATATTCAGGCCAGCCTCCCTCCACCCGAGCCAGGGCAGAAGCAACCTGTCGGGAGGCCCATCCCTCCCATCTCCCTCTCTGCCACCTGGTCACATGGGGCCCTCCTGCCTGGGGCCCGAGGGGAATGTCCAGCTCTTGGCCCCCCTTGCTCAGACTCCTAAGCTCCTACTCTTTGTTGGCCCTAGCGTGGTTCAGCTTTGAAGTGGCATGCTGGTGGGAATCCCTCATTTTCTCCGTAGGGGAAAGAGAAGGGAGAGAGGAGAGAAAGAGGGTTCAGTCCGCAAGGGGCTTACCTGACTTGACATCTGGGACCCACGTGGTGGGGAGGGTGCGCAGCGTGAGGGTAAGATGGTAAGCCGGGGGCGGGGGCGGTTTAGGACACAAGGGTCCCAGCCCCGAGGCTCTGCCTGGCCCGCACTGTCTGGATGGCCTGCTGGTTCTTGAACTTGACCAGGCCCAGGGTGATCTGGGCGTTCCAGCCAGGATCCTCGAGGGGGCAGCGGAAGTCGATCTCGCCGCCGCCCTCGGTCACCAGCGTGAAGTAGATGTGGCGCCCGGTGCTCTCCACGCATTCCACGGCCTTGATGCGGGCGAAGCTGAGCTCCTTGGGCCGGCCGCCCGTGCCCTTGGCCTCGAAGAGCTGCAGCCCGCGCTCGGTGAGCACACAGCGCTTCCGCTTCCACAGCTGCAGCAGCCCGCCGCTGCGCTTCTCCAGCACGCCCTCCTTGAGCACCGTCGCCGCCGCCGTCATGGGCGCCCCGAGGTCCCGGGCAGGCTGTAGGCTGCGGTGGGCGCGGCGCCCTTCCCCGCTCGGCCGCGCCGGATTCCGGCGCCCGGGGCCGGCTGGCCGCGCGCCCTGCCACCTGCGCCCCGACTGCCCCGTGCGCCAGCCGCGCAGTCCTCCGGCCACCGCCGCCCGCTCGGCGCCCGCAGCCCCCGCTCCCGCCCTCCGCCGCTCCTCCTCGCCGCTCGGGGCCGCCACTGCCCGGTGCCCCCCGCGGCTTTTCGGCCCGAGAGCCCGGCTGAGCACTGGCTCCGCGCTCGCCCGCTGGCTCCGCTGGGCTCTGCTTGCGCGCTGGGCGGCAGCTCGAGGGATGTGCCCTTACATGTTCCGCGGCTCGCCTCCTGCGCCGCCCGCCGCGCATTCCTGCCCCGGCCGGCCCTCCCCTCCGCGCCGCGCACCCGCCGGGGCAGGGCTCCGGGGGGCGGGGCCGCGGCGGGGGCTCGGTCACGCACTGGAGGCGCTGGGAGCCGGGCGGGGACGGCTGGTACCGACAGGGGGGCTGCTTACCCAACAGCCCAAGCCTCGTGGCCTGCCGTCTGCCGCTCCTTGGAACCACAGCTCCTCCAGGCCTTGTACACAGGGGACGATCGTGGGGGAGGCGGGAGACAGGGAGCGTCTCCTAGATGAGAGGATCGCTGCTTGTAAGAGGGGGTGGGCTTGCTCTGTGGTCGCGCGGTGCACCGGCTGGGACTTGCAGAGTGGGCTCCAGACATCTGCTGGCTGCTTCCCGGGCCGGGGGTGTCCTGCCCCCGCAGCCCGTGCCCCCTCTCCCAGCTTGGCCAGCTCCCCCTTGGCATTGTGCAAATCAGAAAAACGAGGACGATCCTGGGGTGGGGCGTGGGGGTAGGAATCAAGCCTGTGTTGGGTTTCTTCCCCTTCTCGGCAGGGAAAAAGAGAGGCTGCCCAGCTGTCTCTGCTGGGGCGACCCCCCGCCCTACTCCCTACCCGAATCCCCAGTTCGGGGAGCCGCGTAGAGAAAAGACAAGGCGAGGGGCGACTGGGTGGCTCAGTCCGTGAGGCGTCTGCCTTCGGCTCAGGTCATGATCTTGGGCTCCCTGCTCAGCGGGGTACCTGCTTCTCCTTCTCCCACTGCCATTCCCCCTCCCCCACCCCACTTGTGTTCTCTGGCTTTCTGGATCTCCCTGTCAAATAAAATCTTAAAAAAAAAAAAAAAGGCCAAGGCGAACTGAGCAGAGGAACTTGAGGTCACTCAACCTCCCTGTGGAGGCACAGGGGGAACCCCATTGTGGTCTGGAGAGGTCACTTCCTGCAGTCTTCTTCGTAGCACACGCTTGGAGGGACGGGTTGCTCAGCCCACGTGGACCGGCCATGATTGGAGTTAGCTGCAGGAGCACAGCCCCAACCCTGTTTGTGGCACCCCCTCTGGCAGATTCTATCAACCTCCCTCCGTGCCACCTAAGACAACGTACTTCCCCGGATGGGAGCTGAAGGGGGATGGGGAGGGAGAAGGCTTCCCTCCCTTTTTTGGCCTAAAGGGCTTTGTGTTAAGATGAAAGCTCTGCAGTGTTGGGTTCAAACCTCAACCCTTCCTCCAGGAGGGCGGTGTCCCCGCCCACCCTGGGCTGCTGCATTATCCTTCCATTTCCGCATCTGTCCATTCTCCGTTCACGGAGCTCTGATGAATACGTTAGATAACATTTGTGAAAGGCCCAGGTCAGGGCCTGGCAACTCTCAGAGTCTCAATAAATGTCGTTCCTCCCCTCCTCCCACTTGCATGGCCTTCAGAAGAGGAGGGGGACCCTAAAATTAGGCCAGGCACAGGAAGGAGACTCTTCTAGGTCCTGTTCCTGCCCCATCTTGGTCAGCTCCTCCAGGTCCCCCAGCTCCCTCAGGGCCTCTTCACGGCCATGTTAATAATGGAGTATTATGGGAATAATAATAGGTAGTAATGATAGTAATAAGCCCTCTTTGTCCCCACACCCTGTTTCCATCCTCCTGCCCGTTGATGTAGAGCCTGACGGGCACAAGGAGGGTCCAGGGGAGAGAGGAGAGGGGCCCCAAGTCAGGAAGTGGGGTAAGGCAGCTGTCAAGTTTCCCACCACGGCTCTTCAGCTTGTGTGCTGTAGGAGCACCCCGCCCCCCCCCCCCCCCCCGCAACACACAGGAGGCGAACTGCCTAACCCATAGAATACCCCTCCAGGAGAGGAAATGGCCAGCACCATGAAGGAAGAGAAGCAGCCATGATCGGTGTCTCCTGAGGCCCAGAGGACAGCATTTGAGAAAGCTCAAGGTACCCACGGCCCTGTCTTGGGGACCCCCAACGTCTCAGCCTACCTTCCAGCCATGCCCTCCTATAGCTTCTCTCTCTCCCCCCTCCCACCCCACCTCCTCCATAGGAATCTCCTGAGTGCCTAGTCCTGCCATGATCCAAAGCTCTATCCTTGAGGAGACAGGGCGCTAGACCAGGCTGCTAACTCTGCCCCTAACTCTCTTCTATCTCTATCACTTCAACCTCTCCCCACACTGAGTCTGGGACTCACTGACTCTCTCCCCAGTTCCAGGTTAATTCACAAAAGCTCAGGCATTTAGAGGTTACAGAGCCCTCTCTGTTTCTATTCTCACAACAGATTGGTATTGTTATTATTATTGTGCTCATTTTCCTGATGAGAAAAGTGAGCTCGGAAAGGTCAAGCAACCTAGATGAGGTCATACAGCTCTGTAAATGACAAAGCTGGGAAGAGACTGTGTGGTAGCTAAGAAGGCCCAGGATCTTGTATTGATACCCAGGGTTCTTTTTGTTTTCTAAGATTTTATTTACTATTGGGTGCCTGGGGGGCCCCCCAGTCGTTAAGCGTCTGCCTTCGGCTCAGGTCATGATCCCAGGGTCCCGGGTTCGAGCCCTGCATTGGGCTCCTTGCTCACTGGGGAGTCTGCTTCTCCCTCTGCCTCTCCCCCTGCTTGTGTTCCCTCTCTCGCTGTCTCTCTCTCTGTCAAATAAATAAATAAATCTTTAAATAAATAAATAAATAAATAAGATTTTTTAAAAATATATTTTATTTATTTATAAATAAAAAAGGAGGGATAGAGGGAGCATGAGCAGTGCGGGGGGGGGGGATGGGCACCAAGCTGAGGTGAGCAGGGAGCCTGAGGCGGGGCTCGATCCCAGGACCCTGGGATCCTGACCCGAGCCGAAGGCAGGCGCCTAACGCCTAACGCCTGAGCCACCCAGGCGCCCCTCACAGGGTTCTTTTTACACAAGATCCAGCCACCCACACTTTCCTCTTCAGCTTACTGGGTAGAGTGGTACCAAGTTTTTGGACACAGGAGGAAGGGCAAAAAAGACAGGAACATTGGATAGCAAGATGGAGTGCATAAAGAGGAGGCCATAGGAGGAAATTCAGCAGGGTGTACTCTATTTGCTGGAAGGGTCTTTACCAACTAAACAACCAGTTCCCAACACGACCTCTCCCGAGTGTCCTGCGTAGGCCCTACTGGGAGTCCTATCCTCCAGTCTCTTGACCTCCTGGAATAAGGGGAGGTGACTCACTCTAAATTTTTCCCCAGAATTGACATCCTGCCTGGTAGCCCCATCTGGGAGAGGCTTGGGCCCAAGTAATCCAACTCGGTCCAGCAGAAGGATCAATAAGCATCGTAGAGCCAGGGGAGCAGGGTCGGGGCCAGTGGCGGCTGGTGGGAGGCTGATGACCTGCCTGCGCCCCTTTGATATAGAGTCTTTTGCTCCCTTCCTGCCAGGGTATCCCTGGGATACTGCCCCTGGAAATGGGAGCCCCAACTTAGCCTTCCTGGGGCACTCAGCTGGGGGCAGTGCTGGGCCCTGGAGATACTTAATTCTTACGGACTTGTTGACTACATGGGACTGCCGGACAGAATGTCCCTGGTTGCAGCCCAAAGCTTGCTCCACCCTCTGCCCAGCCCAAAGGAAAGCTGATCTGCACTGTCAGTCAATCTGAGTCCAGCTGGAACGGGCCAGACTACAAAATGGCCCCAGGGAAGAGTGTGCTAGAAATGTTCTCGGTAGGTCTGAGCCTTCCCTAGTGGGACGGAGGGAGCCCTGGATCCACTTGGTGGATACCAGGACAGCACGGAACGGAAGATGGGAACGAGGAGGGATAGAGGCCAGATTGCGACCCAGAGGGGCGTGAAAAGTAACCCAGCTTCTGTTTTCTACAGTATTTACTTAATCTTCTAGATTTGGCTTAGTGGTCATTCATTGTTAGACTCAATCTATAGAAAAAGCATCAAAGATCATTTTATTTACAAAATAGAATGTCTATTAACACTATAAAATTTGTACAATGGAGGTAGGATTGTGTCACTCCTTTTCCTGCAATCCACCAGAACCTTCTCATCTCTGTCTGAGTAAAGCCAAAGTCAGCGAGGCAGCCTCTGAGACCTGCCCGCTACTTTCTGACCTCAGCGCCCATGCTCTCTGCCCTCCCTCCCCTGGCTCCAGCCACACTCCTTGCCACCCCTCCACAAGACCTTCCTCAGGGCCTTTGCTTATGCTGTTCTCTGCCTGGACCATTCTCCCCCAGATCCTCACATGGTACATTTCCTCACCTCCCTCAGCTCTTTGTTCAGATATCATCTGTGATGTCGTCCCAGACCGCCCTGTTTAACACTGCAACCCCCCCCACACGAACACATAGACACACACACTCAGTCATGTTCATACACACGACATCCCCTCTCCTGCTTGATTTCTCTCTATAGCACATGCCATCATCTAAAATTCTTACTATTGGGCGCCTGGGTGGCTCAGATGGTTAAGCGTCTGCCTTCGGCTCAGGTCATGATCCCGGGGTCCCTGGATCGAGTCCCTCATCGGGCTCCCTGCTCCTTGGGAGTCTGCTTCTCCCTCTGCTTCTCTCTCTCTCTCTCTCTCTCTCTCTGTCATGAATAAATAAAAAAAAATCTAAAAAAAAAAATAAAATTCTTACTATTTTTCTCATTTATTATTTATCTCCTCTACTAGAATGTAAGCTCTGTGGCAGCAGGGAATTTTATCCTGTTTTCTTCACCCTTGTGGCTCCAGCGCTGAGAATGTTGCCTGGTGCACAGTAGGGCCTTGGT